TCGTACTTTAGCTTTCATTAAAGCGCCAACGTAGGCCTTTCCTTTATTTGCTGCCGCCTTTGTTCGTTCCGTGCTGGAGAAATTCCCACTCAAAGAGATTCCAACATGCTCCCACGAACTTTTTTCCGTGATTTTTACACCATTTAAATACCATTTCCTGGTCAGTTTACAAACGGAATTTACTGTAGTTCTCTCTCCGAAGGTCACTTCAACAGTTTTGCTCGGATTAAAATGGAATCTCCATTTCTTGCTATAGGATTCAATTGCACTTAGTAAGCCTTGTAGTCCCTTTACCCTGAGTGACAATAAGGTGATGTCATCCGCAACCAACACCGAATTGCAATAAATATTGTCGACCTTGAGACCACTGTCAATTGGTTTTAATATTTCAGGAATGTCATTGTTAAAACAGAGAAATAGCCATGGCGATAGCACTCCTCCTTGTCTTACACCCTGCTTGACAGGAAACATGTTAGATTGCAGACTGTTTACAGAGACACAGCAACGCATTTTACCATACCAATTCCTCAGGATTCTCCAGGATTTCCCATTAAAGCCGAGATGAAATAATTTATAGAAAAGGCCATCTAGCCATACGGAGTCAAAGGCTTTCGAAGAGTCCAAAAAGCAACAGTACACTTTGCTTCCTTTTTCCACGTTATGATTAATGATCTCTTGTAAAGAGAAACTGGATAATACACAGCTTTTGTTTTTCTGATATGCAAACTGGTAATTGTTAGGGATACCCATAACTTTAAACTTTGGAATCCAACGGTTTAAGAGAATACGTTCAAAGATTTTTCCCATCACATTCAGCAGCGTTATACCTCGGTAACTTCCCTTATCAAGTTTGTTCTTTTTACCTTTTTTAAGAATCGAGAAGATATTACCTATAGTCCAAGATTCAGCAACATATTCTATTTGGCGGACTGCATTGAAGATCCTTGTCAGAGCTTGGTGCACGAACGACCCTCCATACTTAAAATGTTCGTAAACTAGTTCATCTACACCGCCCGCTTTACCATTTGGCAATTTATCACATACACTCTGGATCTCTTCTACCTCGAATGGCGCATCTAATGGATCTTCATTTCCATAACTTTCTTCTTCGATATTATGAAGACTTTCTTCAACATGCGTTTTGAAGTTTTTATCAAATCAGGATCATGTTTTGGGGTATACAGGTCTTCATAATGCTCTCGCCATACATTAAGTAATTCCTGTTCGTCATCTATGCGTTTACCATCCACCAGTAAGGCATCATTTTTGTTTTGTGGTTGCTTAGTCATGCGAGAAATTTTTCTGAAGAAGTCACTTCTGTCAATGTCATATTCGTCTTCTAAATGTTCTAAATCTTTCATTTCTTCATCATAAATTGCTCTGCGCTGTGCCTTACGAAAATCACGTTTAGCGTTTTTGTATTCAATAAATGACTGATAAATCCGCCCTCTAGGTTTACCATTTTTTAACCAGGTTCTCCTGCATAACTTGACCTTTTTGTTTAAAGCTGACAAGCTTGGATTCCAATAGCGCTTCAAAAATTGTTTAGACTTCTTAATTGGCACTGACGAGAGCGCTGCCGTTTTCAGATTGTGTGTTATTTTCTCAACGTAATTCTCAATTTTTACAATGGAGTCAAGGGATTGATCTGTCCATAAACAGCTTGAAGGGCCTCGCTCAATCTCGTCCTGATATTTCTTCACATAAGTGTTATCCTTCAGTTTGTTCCACATCGACAATTTTTTATAACATTTTGACTGTTTCGTTTTCATAATCATCCGTAGATCACAATAAACCGGCAAGTGGTAAGAGAGATTTGTAAAGCAGTCTTCTATAACAGCGCATTCGGCGATAAGAGTACTAAATTCTCTTGGAACAAATATGTGATCTATTTATGTTCTAATAAGTCCCTGGTTCCCATAAAATGTTTCAATGGGTCCTTTGCACATATTCTGCGAGTTAACAGAAATCAAGTCTAAGTCATTTAGTATTCTATGAACAGAACGACCTCTAGAATTAATTTTTGTAAAGCTTCTCTCTCCGGCTAACTGTCCAATATGAACGTTCAGATCACCAAGTATGATAATGGATCCATTGTTGCAAAGTTCTAACGACACGTCTTCCAGTAGTTTCAGATGGTAATTAAATATGTCGGCTGGTTCTGATGTTGTAGGTAAATAAACCCCAATAATGTAAAGATAGGTTTCATTCAACAGTTTGACTCTCAGTACCATTATCCTGTCGTTACCAAGTTCATTCATAGGATCAACACATATATTCATTTCTTTTCGCCACAAGAAGGAAATTCCGCCTTTTCCTCGTCGCGAAATGGAATCATCATTCAGTTCAGACGAGCATCTGCCCCAAGAAGAGAATGAGGGATCCACCGTGTCTAACAACGAGAGAGAATCTGAATGAAGCCAATGTTCCTGTATAAAGATAATATCGCATTTATCAAGGCTTTCACGCAGGTGTTTTAAATTATATTTTATTCCACCAATATTCCAGGTGATAAGCTTGAGCGATGTCTTTCGCTGATTAAAATTATTCATCTCCGCCATTATACAAGCGTTGAATAGTTCTCAGCTTGGGCTGTTTGTAGTTTCTTTCCTGCAATACGTGCTGGTTTCCATGGCTTGCACTTAACGAACTTTGGCCAAAAGCTTTCTTCGGACACTGCTGAACAGTTCTTAGAGGGAATGTTGACTTTTGCAGAAAGAGTCCCCTTGCGTCGACTGTGAAATATGCGGATCTGAGTGGGTACTACATTTCTTTCTTTCAGATATGACAATACTTGACTTTCAGTAACATTTTCTGCAATCCCAGAAAGAAAGAAAGATTTAATCTTGTTTCGCTTACGTTCCACTCCAGTGAATTCCTTGTTTGAGTCACCAGCTAATTTATTATTACATTCTTGCGTTTGCTTTATTCTTCTTTGCTTTTGACGCAAAATCTCTTTTTCGCTATTTTTAACCGTTGTATTTAATATATATATATATATATATATATATATATATATATATATATATATATATATATATATATATATATCTATCTATATATATCTATCTATCTATCTATCTATCTATCTATCTATCTATCTATATCTATCTATCTATCTATCTATCTATCTATCTATCTATCTATCTATCTATCTATCTATCTATCTATCTATCTATCTATCTATCTATCTCTATCTATCTATCTATCTATCTATCTATCTATCTATCTATCTATCTATCTATCTATCTATCTATCTATCTATCTATCTATCTATCTATCTATCTATCTATCTATCTATCTATCTATCTATCTATCTATCTATCTATCTATCTATCTATCTATCTATCTATCTATCTATCTATCTATCTATCTATCTATCTATCTATCTATCTATCTATCTATCTATCTATCTATCTATCTATCTATCTATCTATCTATCTATCTATCTATCTATCTATCTATCTATCTATCTATCTATCTATCTATCTATCTATCTATCTATCTATCTATCTATCTATCTATCTATCTATCTATCTATCTATCTATCTATCTATCTATCTATCTATCTATCTATCTATCTATCTATCTATCTATCTATCTATCTATCTATCTATCTATCTATCTATCTATCTATCTATCTATCTATCTATCTATCTATCTATCTATCTATCTATCTATCTATCTCTATCTATCTATCTATCTATCTATCTATCTATCTATCTATCTATCTATCTATCTATCTATCTATCTATCTATCTATCTATCTCTATCTATCTATCTATCTATCTATCTATCTATCTATCTATCTATCTATCTATCTATCTATCTATCTATCTATCTATCTATCTATCTATCTATCTATCTATCTATCTATCTATCTATCTATCTATCTATCTATCTATCTATCTATCTATCTATCTATCTATCTATCTATCTATCATCTATCTATCTATCTATCTATCTATCTATCTATCTATCTATCTATCTATCTATCTATCTATCTATCTATCTATCTATCTATCTATCTATCTATCTATCTATCTATCTATCTATCTATCTATCTATCTATATCTATCTATCTATCTATCTATCTATCTATCTATCTATCTATCTATCTATCTATCTATCTATCTATCTATCTATCTATCTATCTATCTATCTATATCTATCTATCTATCTATCTATCTATCTATCTATCTATCTATCTATCTATCTATCTATCTATCTATCTATCTATCTATCTATCTATCTATCTATCTATCTATCTATCTATCTATCTATCTATCTATCTATCTCTCTCTCTCTAGGTGAAAAATAGGGTGCTTTAGTAACCTTTTCTCTCTAACGATATTATTAGTCGATAATTTTGCAGAAAAGTTTCGTTTTTTTTACAAAATTGAAATTTCATGTCATTTTGTGCTTCATAGAAAAAATTGGGCAGTTTCATTAAATGGAAAAGTTTTTGTGCCCTTAAGAACACAATAGAGGTTACAAAAGATCCTTGTGCAGTGCTTACGTCTTAAATGAATAAAATATCCATCTGTTTGCATGGAATTGTAATAAATACACTAAATAAGACATTTTAGTCGATTATCTTCATAAGCACCACCCTTTATTATCGTTTTTCTGTTTTATTCAAATTTTCAAGTGGGAATATTATGAACCTTTCCCAGGCTGACATCCCATTTTCATGAAATTGAAAATTGATATACGATATGGGGTTCTAGTACTAAATTTCATCAAAATTCGACGAAATTTGGACTGAATGTAAGAGTTGGTTATTTATAAAAGGCATTAAAATTTGGGACTGATCGGATATTTCCTTCCTATCATTTTTTAATTGTTTTTGGCCAAGTGCAAGGTTACAAAAGATCCCTATTGCAAGAAAATCAAAGTTTTTCAGAATTAAGCGCATGAATGAGGTAATGTCCTTTAAATCATTTTTGACGAAAGCACATATTATAAGCAACTCGTATAGAAGTTTTGGTGGAATTTTACTTCATTTAAGGTTCTGAAATAAGGGTTTTTAAAGCCTCTGATCTCAATTTTGAAACTGGATTGTTAAGAACTGTTCGAACATTAACCCCTAAAAATGATTATTTTCGCTCTGAAATGCAATTATTTTTGATAAATCTGCATTTAACAAAGGACTAAAAATTGCCTTAAGCCTACCCGAGTGATTCATCCATTTCTTTCTTAAATCAATTTTTTTCGACAGAATTTCTGAAATTTTGGCAATCCTTTATAAACCTTGCATATCAGAACAAAGCTCTTGGGCGAAACAATGAATGCAGGTTTATTTATTTTATTTTTAAAATCTTAAAAACTTGGAAAACGATTGGAACTGGTTTTTAACTAGAAATCCGCCTTTTCATTGAAAACTAGAAATCCGCCTTTTCATCTACTTAATGACAGCTCAGGGGATATGCTTTGTTTTGTTTTCAAAATTCGGATAGACTTGTATCCCCAATACTTTTCTAAAAAAAAATTAGTAATTAAAATTACAAAGACTCAGAAAAGCAGAAATGGTTTTTTTGTTCCTAGTTCCAGACCCCCTTTACTCGCGGTTTGCTCGCGATATTTGCAAATTAGTATTGTTGCTTGGACTCTGTGTATCTTTCGGTGGTTTTCTTCAGTTTTTTTCGTATCTTTGTGATTTGGCGTGTACAGAGGAAGATCCTAGTTGTATCTAAAAGTGTGCAGCGAAGGTAAGACGATTTTGACTACATCTTTATACGCGTAGTATTTTAATTATTTTGTTTATCATAGCCGAGCATGGCGTCGACAGTCTCACTTAAATATAACAGGAAATATTGTAGATCGTTTCTAAATTCAAGTGAATAGGAGTTACACTGAGTTTAGCATGCGATTACACTTATATAGAGAAAATTGAATTAAGTTATTTTATATATCTGTGATCTACACATTAAAATCATTGTGCATGATTGCTTTACATAGTTTTCAAATGTGCATTAGTGAATTTCACACTTATGTGATTTCTTATGGTTTTATGGTATCAATTATCAAGTCACAATGGCACTAAAAATATTCAAAATATATCCCAGCTTGTTCTATAATATTTACACATTATTCTATAATATTGACTGTTTGCTTACATGATTCTATAATATTGACTGTTGGCTTACATGATTCTATAATATTGACTGTTTGCTTACATGATTCTATAATATTGACTGTTTGCTTACATGATTCTATAATATTGACTGTTTGCTTACATGATTCTATAATATTGACTGTTTGCTTACATGATTCTATAATATTGACTGTTGGCTTACATGATTCTATAATATTGACTGTTGGCTTACATGATTCTATAATATTGACTGTTGGCTTACATGATTCTATAATATTGACTGTTGGCTTACATGATTCTATAATATTAACTGTTGGCTTACATGATTCTATAATATTGACTGTTGGCTTACATGATTCTATAATATTGACTGTTGGCTTACATGATTCTATAATATTGACTGTTGGCTTACATGATTCTATAATATTGACTGTTGGCTTACATGATTCTATAATATTGACTGTCGGCTTACATGATTCTATAATATTGACTGTTTGCTTACATGATTCTATAATATTGACTGTTGGCTTACAGTGTACATGGTTCTATAATATTGATTGTTTGTGTTACATGATTCTATAATATTGACTGTTGGCTTACATGATTCTATAATATTGACTGTTGGCTTACATGGTTCTATAATATTGACTGTTGGCTTACATGGTTCTATAATATTGACTGTTTGCTTACATGGTTCTATAACATTGACTGTTTGCTTACATGATTCTATCATATTGACTGTTTGCTTACATGATTCTATAATCATGCTTAGTTTTATATAGAACTTAATTCAGGGTGCATTGATATTACTCTACTTCATTTTTATGTCATATGGTTAAGGGGTTTACTTGTTACAGAGAGTTTTCACCTGGCAACGTACGGAATCTAATTAATTTAGCTGTTTTGTTCAGTGAGACAGGTTTTTTAACTGTAACTATGGAACCAGTTGGCTTATATCAATGATTAGCCCAGCAAAATACTTGTCTTGTTTCACTTTATAAGTTACAGAAGTTTCATGTGTGCCTGAACTCTTCTTAGCTACTTAAGGGGGCTAGATGTGTTTTTTCATAGTTTAATTATTTGTTTTCAAACACAAAACACTACTTTAAACTAATGTATAGCTCTAAATAATGTTCCTACATGCTTAGTTTTATATAGAACTTAATTCAGGGTGCATTAATATTACTCTACTTCATTTTTATGTCATATGGTTAAGGGCTTTACTTGTTACAGAGAGTTTTCACCTGGCAACGTACGGAATCTAATTAATTTAGCTGTTTTGTTCAGTGAGACAGGTTTTTTAACTGTAACTATGGAACCAGTTGGCTTATATCAATGATTAGCCCAGCAAAATACTTGTCTTGTTTCACTTTATAAGTTACAGAAGTTTCATGTGTGCCTGAACTCTTCTTAGCTACTTAAGGGGGTTAGATGTGTTTTTTCATAGTTTAATTATTTGTTTTCAAACACAAAACACTACTTTAAACTAATGTATAGCTCTAGATAATGTTCCTACATGCTTAGTTTTATATAGAACTTAATTCAGGGTGCATTAATATTACTCTACTTCATTTTTATGTCATATGGTTAAGGGGTTTACTTGTTACAGAGGGTTTTCACCTGGCAACGTACGGAATCTAATTAATTTAGCTGTTTTGTTCAGTGGGATAGGTTTTTTAACTGTAACTATGGAACCAGTTGGTTTATATCAATGATTAGCCCAGCAAAATACTTGTCTTGTTTCACTTTATAAGTTACAGAAGTTTCATGTGTGCCTGAACTCTTCTTAGCTACTTAAGGGGGCTAGATGTTTTTTCATAGTTTAATTATTTGTTTTCAAACACAAAACACTACTTTAAACTAATGTATAGCTCTAGATAATGTTCCTACATGCTTAGTTTTATATAGAACTTAATTCAGGGTGCATTAATATTACTCCACTTCATTTTTATGTCATATGGTTAAGGGGTTTACTTGTTACAGGGTTTTCACCCGGCAACGTACGGAATCTAATTAATTTAGCTGTTTTGTACAGTGAGACATGTTTTTTAACTGTAACTATGGAACCAGTTGGCTTATATCAATCATTAGCCCAGCAAAATACTTTTCTTGTTTCACTTTAGAAGTTACAGAAGTTTCATGTGTGCCTGAACTCTTCTTAGCTACTTAAGGGGGCTAGATGTGTTTTTTCATAGTTTAATTATTTGTTTTCAAACACCAAACACTACTTTAAACAAATGTATAGCTCTAAATAATGTTCCTACATGCTTAGTTTTATATAGAACTTAATTCAGGGTGCATTAATATTACTCTACTTCATTTTTATGTCATATGGTTAAGGGGTTTACTTGTTACAGACGGTTTTCACCTGGCAACGTACGGAATCTAATTAATTTAGCTGTTTTGTTCAGTGGGACAGGTTTTTTAACTGTAACTATGGAACCAGTTGGCTTATATCAATGATTAGCCCAGCAAAATATTTGCCTTGTTTCACTTTATAAGTTACAGAAGTTTCATGTGTGCCTGAACTCTTTTAGCTACTTAAGGGGGCTAGATGTGTTTTTTCATAGTTTAATTATTTGTTTTCAAACACAAATCACCAGTTTAAACTAATGTGTAGCTCTAAATAATGTTCCTACATGCTTAGTTTTATATAGAACTTAATTCAGGGTGCATTGATATTACTCTACTTCATTTTTATGTCATATGGTTAAGGGGTTTACTTGTTACAGAGAGTTTTCACCTGGCAACGTACGGAATCTAATTAATTTAGCTGTTTTGTTCAGTGAGACAGGTTTTTTAACTGTAACTATGGAACCAGTTGGCTTATATCAATGATTAGCCCAGCAAAATACTTGCCTTGTTTCACTTTATAAGTTACAGAAGTTTCATGTGTGCCTGAACTCTTCTTAGCTACTTAAGGGGGCTTGATGTGTTTTTTCATAGTTTAATTATTTGTTTTCAAACACAAAACAATACTTTAAACTAATGTATAGCTCTAATAATGTTCCTACATGCTTAGTTTTATATAGAACTTAATTCATGGTGAATTAATATTACTCTACTTCATTTTTATGTCAAATGTTTAAGGGTTTACTTGTTACAGAGAGTTTTCACCTGGCAACGTACGGAATCTAATTAATTTAGCTGTTTTGTTCAGTGAGACACGTTTTTTAACTGTAACTATGGAACCAGTGGCTTATATCAATGATTAGCCCAGCAAAATACTTGTCTCTTTTCACTTTATAAGTTACAGAAGTTTCATGTGTGCCTGAACTGTTATTACTTACTTAAGGGGGCTTGATGTGTTTTTTCATAGTTTACTTATTTGTTTTCAATCACAAAACACTATTTTAAGCTAATGTATAGCTCTAAATAATGTTCCTACATGCTTAGTTTTATATAGAACTTGATTCATGGTGAATTAATATTACTCTACTTCATTTTTATGTCATATGGTTAAGGGGTTTACTTGTTACAGAGAGTTTTCACCTGGCAACTTAGGGAAGCTAATTAATTTAGCTGTTTTGTTCAGTGAGACATGTTTTTTAACTGTAACTATGGAACCAGTTGGCTTATATCAATGATTAGCCCAGCAAAATACTTGCCTTGTGTTACTTTATAAGTTACAGAAGTTTCATGTGTGCCTGAACTCTTCTTAGCTACTTAAGGGGGCTTGATGTGTTTTTTCATAGTTTAATTATTTGTTTTCAAACACAAAACAATACTTTCAACTAATGTATAGCTCTAATTAATGTTCCTACATGCTTAGTTTTATATAGAACTTAATTCATGGTGAATTAATATTACTCTACTTCATTTTTATGTCATATGGTTAAGGGGTTTACTTGTTACAAAGAGTTTTCACCTGGCAACATACGGAATCTAATTAATTTAGCTGTTTTGTTCAGTGAGACACGTTTTTTAACTGTAACTATGGAACCAGTTCCCTTATATCAATGATTAGCCCAGCAAAATACTTGTCTCTTTTCACTTTATAAGTTACAGAAGTTTCATGTGTGCCTGAACTGTTATTACTTCCTTAAGGGGGCTAGATGTGTTTTTTCATAGTTTACTTATTTGTTTTCAATCACAAAACACTATTTTAAGCTAATGTATAGCTCTAAATAATGCTCCTACATGCTTAGTTTTATATATAACTTAATTCAGGGTGCATTAATATTACTCTACTTCATTTTTATGTCATATGGTTAAGGGGTTTACTTGTTACAGAGAGTTTTCACCTGGCAACGTACGGAATCTAATTAATTTAGCTGTTTTGTTCAGTGAGACAGGTTTTTTAACTGTAACTAGAACCAGTTGGTTTATATCAATGATTAGCCCAGCAAAATACTTGTCTTTTCACTTTATAAGTTACAGAAGTTTCATGTGTGCCTGAACTCTTCTTAGCTACTTAAGGGGGCTAGATGTGTTTTTTCATAGTTTAATTATTTGTTTTCAAACACAAAACACTACTTTAAACTAATGTATAGCTCTAGATAATGTTCCTACATGCTTAGTTTTATATAGAACTTAATTCAGGGTGCATTAATATTACTCTACTTCATTTTTATGTCATATGGTTAAGGGGTTTACTTGTTACAGAGGGTTTTCACCCGGCAACGTACGGAATCTAATTAATTTAGCTGTTTTGTACAGTGAGACATGTTTTTTAACTGTAACTATGGAACCAGTTGGCTTATATCAATCATTAGCCCAGCAAAATACTTTTCTTGTTTCACTTTAGAAGTTACAGAAGTTTCATGTGTGCCTGAACTCTTCTTAGCTACTTAAGGGGGCTAGATGTGTTTTTTCATAGTTTAATTATTTGTTTTCAAACACCAAACACTACTTTAAACTAATGTATAGCTCTAAATAATGTTCCTACATGCTTAGTTTTATATAGAACTTAATTCAGGGTGCATTAATATTACTCTACTTCATTTTTATGTCATATGGTTAAGGGGTTTACTTGTTACAGAGGGTTTTCACCTGGCAACGTACGGAATCTAATTAATTTAGCTGTTTTGTTCAGTGGACAGGTTTTTTAACTGTAACTATGGAACCAGTTGGCTTATATCAATGATTAGCCCAGCAAAATATTTGCCTTGTTTCACTTTATAAGTTACAGAAGTTTCATGTGTGCCTGAACTCTTTTAGCTACTTAAGGGGGCTAGATGTGTTTTTTCATAGTTTAATTATTTGTTTTCAAACACAAATCACCAGTTTAAACTAATGTGTAGCTCTAAATAATGTTCCTACATGCTTAGTTTTATATAGAACTTAATTCAGGGTGCATTGATATTACTCTACTTCATTTTTATGTCATATGGTTAAGGGGTTTACTTGTTACAGAGAGTTTTCACCTGGCAACGTACGGAATCTAATTAATTTAGCTGTTTTGTTCAGTGAGACAGGTTTTTTAACTGTAACTATGGAACCAGTTGGCTTATATCAATGATTAGCCCAGCAAAATACTTGTCTTGTTTCACTTTATAAGTTACAGAAGTTTCATGTGTGCCTGAACTCTTCTTAGCTACTTAAGGGGGCTTGATGTGTTTTTTCATAGTTTAATTATTTGTTTTCAAACACAAAACAATACTTTAAACTAATGTATAGCTCTAAATAATGTTTCTACATGCTTAGTTTTATATAGAACTTAATTCATGGTGAATTAATATTACTCTACTTCATTTTTATGTCAAATGTTTAAGGGTTTACTTGTTACAGAGAGTTTTCACCTGGCAACGTACGGAATCTAATTAATTTAGCTGTTTTGTTCAGTGAGACACGTTTTTTAACTGTAACTATGGAACCAGTTGGCTTATATCAATGATTAGCCCAGCAAAATACTTGTCTCTTTTCACTTTATAAGTTACAGAAGTTTCATGTGTGCCTGAACTGTTATTACTTACTTAAGGGGGCTTGATGTGTTTTTTCATAGTTTACTTATTTGTTTTCAATCACAAAACACTATTTTAAGCTAATGTATAGCTCTAAATAATGTTCCTACATGCTTAGTTTTATATAGAACTTGATTCATGGTGAATTAATATTACTCTACTTCATTTTTATGTCATATGGTTAAGGGGTTTACTTGTTACAGAGAGTTTTCACCTGGCAACTTAGGGAAGCTAATTAATTTAGCTGTTTTGTTCAGTAAGACATGTTTTTTAACTGTAACTATGGAACCAGTTGGCTTATATCAATGATTAGCCCAGCAAAATACTTGCCTTGTTTACTTTATAAGTTACAGAAGTTTCATGTGTGCCTGAACTCTTCTTAGCTACTTAAGAGGGCTTGATGTGTTTTTTCATAGTTTAATTATTTGTTTTCAAACACAAAACAATACTTTCAACTAATGTATAGCTCTAATTAATGTTCCTACATGCTTAGTTTTATATAGAACTTAATTCATGGTGAATTAATATTACTCTACTTCATTTTTATGTCATATGGTTAAGGGGTTTACTTGTTACAAAGAGTTTTCACCTGGCAACATACGGAATCTAATTAATTTAGCTGTTTTGTTCAGTGAGACACGTTTTTTAACTGTAACTATGGAACCAGTTGGCTTATATCAATGATTAGCCCAGCAAAATACTTGTCTCTTTTCACTTTATAAGTTACAGAAGTTTCATGTGTGCCTGAACTGTTATTACTTCCTTAAGGGGGCTAGATGTGTTTTTTCATAGTTTACTTATTTGTTTTCAATCACAAAACACTATTTTAAGCTAATGTATAGCTCTAAATAATGCTCCTACATGCTTAGTTTTATATATAACTTAATTCAGGGTGCATTAATATTACTCTACTTCATTTTTATGTCATATGGTTAAGGGGTTTACTTGTTACAGAGAGTTTTCACCTGGCAACGTACGGAATCTAATTAATTTAGCTGTTTTGTTCAGTGATACAGGTTTTTTAACTGTAACTATAGAACCAGTTGGTTTATATCAATGATTAGCCTAGCAAAATACTTGTCTTGTTTCACTTTATAAGTTACAGAAGTTTCATGTGTGCCTGAACTCTTCTTAGCTACTTAAGGGGGCTAGATGTGTTTTTTCATAGTTTAATTATTTGTTTTCAAACACAAAACACTACTTTAAACTAATGTATAGCTCTAGATAATGTTCTACATGCTTAGTTTTATATAGAACTTAATTCAGGGTGCATTAATATTACTCTACTTCATTTTTATGTCATATGGTTAGGGGTTTACTTGTTACAGAGGGTTTTCACCCGGCAACGTACGGAATCTAATTAATTTAGCTGTTTTGTACAGTGAGACATGTTTTTTAACTGTAACTATGGAACCAGTTGGCTTATATCAATCATTAGCCCAGCAAAATACTTTTCTTGTTTCACTTTAGAAGTTACAGAAGTTTCATGTGTGCCTGAACTCTTCTTAGCTACTTAAGGGGGCTAGATGTGTTTTTTCATAGTTTAATTATTTGTTTTCAAACACCAAACACTACTTTAAACTAATGTATAGCTCTAAATAATGTTCCTACATGCTTAGTTTTATATAGAACTTAATTCAGGGTGCATTAATATTACTCTACTTCATTTTTATGTCATATGGTTAAGGGGTTTACTTGTTACAGAGGGTTTTCACCTGGCAACGTACGGAATCTAATTAATTTAGCTGTTTTGTTCAGTGGGACAGGTTTTTTAACTGTAACTATGGAACCAGTTGGCTTATATCAATGATTAGCCCAGCAAAATATTTGCCTTGTTTCACTTTATAAGTTACAGAAGTTTCATGTGTGCCTGAACTCTTTTTAGCTACTTAAGGGGGCTAGATGTGTTTTTTCATAGTTTAATTATTTGTTTTCAAACACAAATCACCAGTTTAAACTAATGTGTAGCTCTAAATAATGTTCCTACATGCTTAGTTTTATATAGAACTTAATTCAGGGTGCATTGATATTACTCTACTTCATTTTTATGTCATATGGTTAAGGGGTTTACTTGTTACAGAGAGTTTTCACCTGGCAACGTACGGAATCTAATTAATTTAGCTGTTTTGTTCAGTGAGACAGGTTTTTTAACTGTAACTATGGAACCAGTTGGCTTATATCAATGATTAGCCCAGCAAAATACTTGCCTTGTTTCACTTTATAAGTTACAGAAGTTTCATGTGTGCCTGAACTCTTCTTAGCTACTTAAGGGGGCTTGATGTGTTTTTTCATAGTTTAATTATTTGTTTTCAAACACAAAACAATACTTTAAACTAATGTATAGCTCTAAATAATGTTCCTACATGCTTAGTTTTATATAGAACTTAATTCATGGTGAATTAATATTACTCTACTTCATTTTTATGTCAAATGTTTAAGGGTTTACTTGTTACAGAGAGTTTTCACCTGGCAACGTACGGAATCTAATTAATTTAGCTGTTTTGTTCAGTGAGACACGTTTTTTAACTGTAACTATGGAACCAGTTGGCTTATATCAATGATTAGCCCAGAAAAATACTTGTTTCTTTTCACTTTATAAGTTACAGAAGTTTCATGTGTGCCTGAACTCTTTTTAGCTACTTAAGGGGGCTAGATGTGTTTTTTCATAGTTTAATTATTTGTTTTCAAACACAAATCACCAGTTTAAACTAATGTGTAGCTCTAAATAATGTTCCTACATGCTTAGTTTTATATAGAACCTTATTCAGGGTGCATTGATATTCTCTTCTTAGCTACTTAAGGGGGCTAGATGTGTTTTTTCATTGTTTAAGTATTTGTTTTTCAACATAAAACACTAGTTTAAACTAATTTGTAGCTCTATATAATTTTCCTACATGCTTAGTTTTTTATAGAACTTAATTCAGGGTGCATTAACATTACTCTACTTCATTTTTATGTGATATGGTTATTTGTTACAGGGAGTTTTCACCTGGCAACTTAGGGAATCTAATTAATTTAGCTGTTTTGTTCAGTGAGACAAGTTTTTTAACTGTAACTATGGAATGTGTAGCTCTAATTTTTATATGATGTATTTCTTCTTATAGTACATAAAATGGAAAGAAAGGGGAAAAAACCGATTAGAATCCTTAGGGATAGTTTTACATATGGGAAAAATGCAAAGAATGCGCCTCATATTCTGGCAGTTTTTTCCGAAATTCAAGATATCGTTGGTGTAAGTATTCTTGTTTTATGTCACATTGTAGTGCTAATTATAATGATAGATTTTTTAAGGAATAAAATCACCTGCAATGATTATGACACTTTTTTAATCATGCAGGTAATATGTACGTTAAATGTGCCAACCCTAACCCCTTATCAACGATGTTCGTAGAAATAAAGTTGAAATTTTGTTGCATGACAGGTCTTTTAAGTGCCAAGATTGCTTCTAAAGAGGGGAGAGGGACAAAGATTATCATCTGTTGCAATTAATTAGCAAACTCCATAAGTTTATACAAAATCAATTTTATGATTTTTTAGAGTTTTAATGGAAAGTGGAAGGTTGATTTTAAGGATACAAAAATTGACAGAACTGTTCAATATGAGTTTACTTTGCCAGCAGATGAAGTAAGTTATGAAATATAGTATTTTATACCAGTTTTTTGTATTGTTGTAGAAATACATGCCAGGATAAGTAATGTACCATCTTGATTAAGAAACAAGTAAATTCTACTTTTATTCATTCTGTAGACAAAACAATGTGAAATAGAAGAACACCTTGACAGCATTGATATGCTGATAAATGAAGAAATGTTGCAGACAACATCGAACAGGGCAACAGAAATGGAAGACTGTTCCAGTGAAAACCAGGTTCGCAACAAAGGACAATTTTATCTGATTCGTTGTTACTTGCTAGCGACTCATTTCAAACTTTTTTAGAGTGCAATTTTATATACCCTGTATATGTATGTACTTTTCAGAAAACTGTAGAATCTTGTGAAAGCGAAAGTTGTGGTGAGTCAAGTGATGAAAGTTGGGCCCCGTCAAAAGATGCACATGTCCATGAGGAAAGTGAACAAGGGCATTCAAGCAAGTCATTACAAGAAGACCTTTCAGTTGAAAGTCATAAGCAGAGGAAATCATCTGGTGAGCAAAATGTTACTGCACCCCAGAGAAGAAAAATTTCGTGTCCCTTGGTAATGTGTAATGCCAAGGTCGTGCATCTCCCAAGACATATGCGAAATGTGCATCACTGGACGAAGGAAGCTGCTTCGAAAGTGCTATTAAAATACAATATCAGACAGCGACTCACCAAAGAACCGAAGAAAAAAGATTATCGTTGCCGTCGCAAGTGTCCCATTGATGATTGCCACTCGATTGTTCGACGTTTACCAAAGCACTTGCAAAAGGTGCACAAGTTAGATAAAGCATCGACGATGTACCAACGTGCAATTGTAGATGCTCCCGTTGCTCCAAATCGTAAGCATGCCATGATTAAGTGGCAAGAAGAACAGTTAAAGAGGAAGACATGGGAAGTGGATCGAAGCCACCAACATCGCAAGGAACAAGAAGAAGAAGATGAAGAAGAACAGGATGAAAATAAAGAGGTTATTGGTGAAAATAAGCGTGGACGTTATGACCATGATGATGATGACGACCATAATGATGATGATGACGACCATAATGATGATGATGATGATGATGATGATGATGATAATGATGATGGTAGTTTTAATGATGACGATGGCGATGACGATGACGAAGATGAAAGCAGCAGCATGGAAGATGTGAAACAGCAGACAAAATCAACATTACCACCTGTAATCACGGAGTTTCAAGAGTGGTTGGCGTCTCCTGATGGCAGCAAAAAAGATGAAAAAACGGTCATGCAACATGGTTCTCAGCTGTATATCCTGCTAAAAGCCATCGATGATTCAGAGAACATTCAGTCCCTATTTGACCTGAAGTTAATCCGTCAAGTTTTTCTAAATGTGCATGTGAAGCAGAAAAAGTACGAAGCTGGCACAATCAAGTCGTACCTCATGAGTCTGCGGCATTTCTTTTCGTTTGTGCTGTCTGACAAACCGGAAAGCATCAAATTCAATTGGGTGGACGTAAGCTCTGCGCGGGAAAAGGTAAAGATGTGGTCTGCGTCATACAAGAGAGAGTCTAACACAAGAAAATGGCAAAAGCTTGAGGAAGATATGCTTAACCGTTTGACGCCTTCAAATATCAGGAAGCTGGAGAAAAGTGCGGCAGCTCGAGAGGCTATTAAGATAATTGGACAATACTCTGATTCAGCCGAGTCGACCCCTGTTACCCAATCCAGTTACACCCTTGTCAGGGATTTCCTATTTACCCAAATATTCATAGATAATGCCAATCGACCAGGTGTCTTAGCTCATATGACGATGGAGGAATTTACTAACATCCGAAAACAAGATGACCATTATCTAATAACAGTGAAGAAACATAAAACGGCGCATGTTCATGGACCAGCTCGTGTCGTATTGAGCGAAAAGCTGAAGTCGTGGATGTCGGTATTTGTTGGTGTGATGCGAGCCCATGTTACAACCCGAATCAACGGTCCAGTATTCTTATCCTGGAATGGAAATGGTATGAATTCTGGGCACATCACTAAGGCAGTACAATCTGTGTTTAAAAAGGCTGGAGTGGACGTTAAAATAACTTGCACCTCGTTTCGTAAGGCAGCAGTAACCAAAGTACACATCGACAAGCCAGAAATGAGTGGGAAATTAGCTAGCCCTTATCTCACAACGAAGCGACCGCAAAGAAGTATTATCTTCTGACAGAGAAGTCGAAAACGTCCATAGAAGCTTCGCGAAACCTTGGACGGCTGATGCGAACCGACGATGGAGGTGGAGATATTCTCGAGACCGCCACTACAGTAGAGGAAACAATGGCTGTTGATGGTAAGGGAAAGTCTTCCCCATGCGAATCATCCGAGAGTGAAAGTAAAAGAGCTCCTTGGACTGACGACGACGTTGCCAAAATTAAGAAAATATTCCAGAAGGATATATTGAAGAATAACGTAACCCTGGATGTTGTTCGTCATGGTGTCGAAACACATGAAGAGCTTTGTGGCATGTCACCAAGGCGAATTTACGACAAGTTAAAGAAAGAGGGCAAGAAAAATTTAGGTGAACTTGTTCCTGTCATGGAGCTACCACAAGAGCACGATTCTTTGGAAGATAAATTGGATCGTATGGAAGATGTGCAAAAGCATGCAGAAGAATCAGGAACCAACGATGACCAGTTATCCACAAGCATCATTGCCCCTACAGAAAGGAATAGCCTCTTCAATTGTGACGAAGTCCAAACCATACAAAAATTGTTTGAGGATATGATTCGGAAAACCGTGATAATTTCCAAAGTTGAAGTTGAAAAGAGATGTTCTGGCAGCCGTGATGGACGTAGTTTGTTGCAAAAGTCAACGCCTATTGCCTTAGTCAATAGAATAAAATATGAACGAAGAAAACATAGATTGGCAAAAAACGTTAAGTAAACTTCATAGTTAAAATTGCAAATTAGGAAAAAGATATGGACAAACTTTTGAGACTTGAACACTTTTATGTACAGTATTGTGTGTACATAAATTACACAGTTTAAATTAAGGACATTGAGGTCGTTAAGGCGTTAAAATGAAGCTTAAGGTATGCGCAAGCTTAGGTTTTACTTCTTGTCTCGTGTCTATATGACGCACTTTTGTTGATTTTGAACTGAATTATTGTATTTTTAAGTCTTGGTCGTTTCGATTATACTTTCCAAGTAGATATGGAAGTAGGTGTCTTCAATTTTCAAAGCTTCTCTTTTGATACAGTTTAGCATTGCATTTGAACGCATTAAACGTCCTCAATGTAGATCTGCATATTATAAATTAGAGTTGGAACACTTGTGGAAATTATATTTTAGCTATGACAATTTCCAAACCGTTGAATGTAATTAAAATAGATATCTTTATTTGAATTTCCATTAAAATTTTTCTAAATTTGTGATAATTATAATCTTTGTTTAAGCTGTCATATTTCTTCGAATAAATGGCGAAGACAGGCAATGACATTACCTGCAGCCACGAGGGAATCGGCAATTTCATCTTTTATTATATTCATTTTGAAATCAATGGCATTTCTTGCCATCTAATTGCTTTTTAACACAGTGATTTCAGCCTGGATTAACCTCATATCAGGTTGATTTCAAAATTGCTGACAACATTTGTATATGGTTTACATGGGAAATATCTAAAATACACGTGGTTCATAAGTGAAACTTTTACTTACTTTTACTCTTACGGTACACACTTAATTTAAAAGAACACATTTGCATTAGCAATGTCCCAATTGAGCAGGGTACTGGGTCTAGTCGCAAAGCATCTATGAACTGTTTGGAGGGACAAATGATATCAGACTTCATTTCCTGTCCCTCCAAATGGTCCATAGATGCTTTGCAGTTTGCGATTAGACCCGGTACCCTGCTCGATTTGGAAATGGCTAATCATACACAAAGTGTGTACAAGGACATGCCATTTGTGAAATATTACAGTTTGCGAACACATCGGAAAATGTCCTCTGGAGTAAAACAAAATAATACCATAAGCTTTTCTGCAGTTTTTTAAGGTCTAAAACTCGTAAGTCTCCTTCAGACTAAATCAAATATTATTTTCTGACCATGATACAAAAGTGCCATATGAAGGTTACAAAAGCGCCATATGAAGGTTACAAAAGCGCCACATGTAAGTTACAAAAGGTCCATAGTAAGGTTACAAAAGCGCCATTCACTGAAGGTTACGAAAGGACCACATAGGTTACGAAAGGACCACATAAGTTACAAAAGCTCCATATGAAGGTTACCAAAGCTCCATAAGGAGGTTACAAAAGGCCCAATTCTTCTAGCTAGCTAGCTAGCTAGCTAGCTATCTATCTATCTATCTATCTATCTATCTATCTATCTATCTATCTATCTATCTATCTATCTATCTATCTATCTATCTATCTATCTATCTATCTATCTATCTATCTATCTATCTATCTATCTATCTATCTATCTATCTATCTATCTATCTATCTATCTACTATCTATCTATCTATCTATCTATCTATCTATCTATCTATCTATCTATCTATCTATCTATCTATCTATCTATCTATCTATCTATCTATCTATCTATCTATCTATCTATCTATCTATCTATCTATCTATCTATCTATCTATCTATCTATCTATCTATCTATCTATCTATCTATCTATCTATCTATCTATCTATCTATCTATCTATCTATCTATCTATCTATCTATCTATCTATCTATCTATCTATCTATCTATCTATCATCTATCTATCTATCTATCTATCTATCTATCTATCTATCTATCTATCTATCTATCTATCTATCTATCTATCTATCTATCTATCTATCTATCTATCTATCTATCTATCTATCTATCTATCTATCTATCTATCTATCTATCTATCTATCTATCTATCTATCTATCTATCTATCTATCTATCTATCTATCTATCTATAGATTGTTGGCATTTAGCACAATCATGTAAAATTTGATTTTTTTCTTAAATTTTAGTTCTGTAGTGTCTGATACCGTCTTAAAATGTAAAACTGTGTGTAACCAATATCTACTTTGTGTTTATTCGTTGTGAAATATCCGTTTTTGCTTTTAAAACTACTGCATCAATTTTATTGTCCCAAATGCCAAGCTGAAAATAGATGTCCATGGTATTTTGCATAACTGTGGTATTCGGCGCAACTGCATGTTATTCCTTTTGGCATTTGGCGCAATCTTCATATTTTTGTCTCAAATACGGACTTTGAAACTTATTACTCTATGAGGCTATGTTAAATTAAATAATCTTTTTCCCTCTAAAGTCACGCACAGAAACAAAAGATCGTGAATATAAATGTGCTTTGCAAAAGGTACTTAGAGAGCGAAAATAAAAGCAACAAATATTTTTTTTACGTAGTCGTAACAATCATATGGTAACATGTTGGTAATTTACAATAATAAATCTGTTTGTCATGAGTCACAACAAATCTGCTCGGAGTTCGACCCCCGCCTTCTGAATTCATACGCTCTACGCACAGTCGTTTAAATTCTTATATTCAAATATGAATTTCTAGATTATTACCTTTCTGCATCATAATTATACTTTTTCTATATTAGCATGAACAAAATTGTTATCTTTGCGTTATTTGCATCATTAGAAGGCAGCGTTTAATGAAACTGCGGTTACAACGAGACTGGGACTGTCCGGAAAATATGTGACGCTCTTTTAGCCATTTTTTGATAACCAATAAAAGACCTCCAATGAAAAAATTACAAAAGTGCGCATTTTCAGTCGTATTTGTAGCTCTAAAATTGTTTTCTTACTCACGAAACAAGGTAATGCATATAACCCCTTACACACTTTTAATTGAGAGCACAAGTATTACCTCTTCCAGGCGATTGTCTCTCAACCTCGTTCCCAGGTCTTTTGGGACTTTATGAGAAAGAAGAGGAAATCACCACCAGAATCAAGGTAAAAGGCCCTGGGAACGAGGTTGGATTGTCTCTGCCACCTGGCCCAGTGGCGTCGCCAGCTTGATAAGTGTGGGGGACTTATTTATATACTCGTGTTTTACATTATTCATTTCTTTTCAAATTGATTGTTTTATCGGTCTGTCAACATGAATATATGAATATGTCCACCCCACTTATCGATGCTGGCGATGCCATTGACCTGGCACAAGCTTAAATTGCATATAATTACTGGATAAACTTCTCGATTCAAAGATTTATTTAAGCCTTCACTGTTTATAACCAAAGCATGTATGTATATATCCCAAATAATAATATTCACAAGAATTGTTCTTTAGATTGCTTAATTATTGATCCTCCATAATTATATGTGATTTAATTATATTCTATTGTAATTATATGTAATTAATTTAGTTTGGCTTGATACAGTTCGTCAAATTTTTTTTATTCATATTTTAAACAGAGCTATTAGGCATCTAAATGCTTTGCTAGAAGGCTAAAAGTTAATAATATACTTTGCAGGAAATATATCTAAATCGAAAATCTATTCAGAACTTTTCTCTGACACCCGTTATTATGGCAACAGAGACGTTTTGCAATGGCCGCAAAACAGGGTTTAATGGTGTTTATATCGCAAACGAGTTCAGTGACCCCAATTTTTTTTTGCAATAAACATTTACACTATAGATGCTTTATCTCTAAAAAGTTTTTTAAAATTCCGTCAAGTCTGTTTATTAAAAACGTTATTTTGGCTTATTAAAAATTTCCCCAAAATTTTCGTAAAAATTTTTTAAAACGTTTTTATAGATAAAGCATGTAAAGCGTAAATATTTCATGTCAAAAAAATGGGGGTCACCGAACTCGTTTAAGATATAAACACAATTAAACCCTGTTTGGCAGCCATCTGCAAAGTATATTAACTTTCAGCCTCAAAAAACTGGGCTTTTTAAATTTTTTTTAAAAAACTCTCCCCACCTATACCTGCTTCTTGATTGGTCGATCAGATACCAACATTGCACATGTATTATTATCATTACTAATCATAGATGTGTTATTATTGTTTTCATAATGTATTTGCAACTATGATAACTGTTATATAGCAACAGTCATGTTGGTTATAAATATGATGTGATGCAATGATCTTGTCTTGTAAATTTCGGGATAACTCGTTTCGACCATTGAATAAATTCTCCGCTTTTGCCTTTTATATTTTTCACTTTTTGTTAACCATGCAGCCTTTTCCTTTCCATACTTATTATGGGTATTTATACAAGCGAAAATAGGACGTAGACCTTCAAGGAATGTACCAATTTTCCTAAATATAAAATTATTATACGTACGGCTTATAATAAAGACGAACCTCGATTCTAAACTATGAGCCGCGGCCTATAAAAATCGCAAATAATATTTATGATCTTTGCAACTTATTAGTTTAAAGGAGTATATTTGCTGTTTAAAAGCCTTAATAATACATGGTCTGTTTGCTCTAACAAGCTCTAATTCTAGTCGCAAATAAGCTCTACGTATTTATACGAATCTTTAACATGTTTAGGTAGTGGCTTGTTCACTGTTTAAGGGTTCTATTATGCCCCCTGCATGTGCGATCAGTCAGTTTCTTTTATGTTGGACGACAAATGTTTTTGTCTGCAACTAACCTATAGTTTTGTTGTAGGGACAATTCTGACGACGTATATTCTGCGCAAACAACATCCTCTCTTGGTTAACCACAATCCAGCCTGATAACTTCCTGGCATGGTTTCTTTGCATGTGATGGTTCAGAGTATTTCCCAATAGTCTGAATGACTTGTATTCCTGTTCCTATACAATTCTTATTATATACTTATCTATAAAACTCTCTTCTCTTAGAGTGCTTGGAAGTCGATTACCTGTTGTATTCCGGTAAACTAGATGCAACTACTGCTGCCCTATTTAATTTCTCCTAAACATATTTATTATGGCCAAAATTTAGTGGCTAAGTC